TAATTTTATTTTCTTTGAATTTATTGTTTATTGAAAATGAGCATCCATCCTAGTTGTAGGTTAAATATGATTCATCCTAGTTAATTTTATTTTCTTTCATTTTGCTTGCTGCATTTTCTGTTTCATCAGTATATAAGTCAATGCTAAGACTTGAGTTCCAATTTTCAAGCAAAGTTTCATGCTATTTTATATTTATTTATTTATTTTTTCACAACAATAACTTGTGTGGTATGATTGGAACTGTTTTCTGCTTCTATTTATATCTAATCACTGTTTGGGGTTATTACCATGTGTAGCTTGTGCAGTTACAAGTAGATGCAGATTTTTAAATTTTAGTATTGGGTTCATAGCAGCAACAACTTACCAATTTCTTAGTTATGGAAGTGGGCTTCATATCTTGCAGGTGATGGATATGGAACATGAACTTCGTGCTCTAAGAGCTCTTATTCGAGAGAAGAATATATTTTCCATGAAGCTTCAGAAAGAGGTCGGTTTGGTGTATTTCATTTACTAATTCAACTTCCAGTAGCATCAGCTAAATTTCTTGCATTAATCAATGCCTAATTCACACCAGCTGGCAATGACCAAGAGGGCTGAGGAGAAGAAATCTTGTTTATATGTTCTTGAGGGTTCTGAAACTCTAGGTTCATGCCTACGACTCAAGCCATGTTCTAATAATGCTCCAGAGCTCTCCAAATGTTCAATTCAATGGTATCGGGTAACATCTGATGGTGATCAAAGGGATATAATTTCAGGTATTATTTTTTGTTTTTTTGAGAAGTTCAGGAATTAATTTAATGAATGTCATTCACAGAAAATCCTTTATGTACCCAAGTTTTGCAGATCTTCATTATTGTGTCCATAAATCATAAAATTCATAATCTGCATTGCATGTTCTCATGTTTCATCCACCAGCTAACCAATTAGAGGCCTTGTGTTCTGAACTCCTTTCCACTATCTTTGTAGTGCCAAATTTCCTATTATGTATGACAGCTGAGTATATACCAAGTTGTCTAGTTTTTTGGTTGAGACGTATGTTTTACATTGCTCACATGTGATCTGAGGTTAAAATTATTAAGTGCTGACACATACTCCATAATCATATCTAGGCTCTCCGTATGGTTTGTAATTCTGCCAAGTTACATTCTAGCTCTCAGGAGACTTTTTGTACGGTTTTACTATAAGTTGGTCCCCTAAGAAGCGAGAGCACCCACTACTCTCCCTCATCATTGGTATTGTGTCCATATCTAACACACAGGATATGTATAAATATGCCAAAACACATTGGAAAAAGGGTTATTTTTGATGTGGTATCGACCTTGTTATTTGAGGAATTTTATGTTTATTTTCTCACTTCAGTGAATTGCTGTTGCAATAAATCATTTGCTGCCTGATAGCATATTTTTGTAAGGTCACTTGTTACTAAATTTTAAGTTGTCAAACTTCTTGCTCGACTGTCAGGTGCCAACAAATCAAAGTATGCTCCAGAACCACTCGATGTTGGTCAAATTTTGGAGGCTGATGTAATTTCAAATGGTCAGAAAGCCACAGTTACAACAGATGGTCCTATTGACTCTGGTTAGTTTAGATCAAAATGGTCAAATACTCTTCTGAGATCTTCTATATAATTCTGAAATTCATGTCCGTTATGGACAGGATTACCAGAATAGATTCCTCTTTATTTAGTTCTTATGCATGGTTAATCCTCCATAATGCATGCTGCCTGGGAACCAAAAAAGCAAGGCTAATAAAAAGTTTTACAGCTGCAGGATTGGGAAGCCATGTGGAGACACTCCTGCGAAAATCCAGTAGTGAATTTAACGTATGTTATCCCCTCTCCAATAACTTAATTATCATTTCCAGTTGTGCATGCTTTCAGCAAACAATTTTTGTTTTATAAGTATGACTAAAGTTTTTGACATTTTATTGTTTTAGGTTGTCATTTCCCAGATAAATGGACAAGATCATCCATCACACTCTACTCATGCTTTTAATGTGGGAAAAATGAGGATAAAGCTCTGTAGAGGATGGATCACCAAGTCTAGAGAAAACTATTCCACATCTATGCAGGTACTTTACTGGATGCTCTATGCTTTTCTTGTATAGTGTTGTTTGTTTTTATTGTCTTATTGTACTTTTGCGGGCAAGAATCCTTACATTTTTCTGGTATCCTCAATATTAGCTATGTGGAGTTAGAAGTGATGGCAATGCTGCAGCCAAATCATTGTTTTGGCAACCTAGGAAGGGACTATCATATGTATTGACATTTGAATCAGAGCGAGAAAGGAATGCAGCCATTATTGTTGCAAGAAAATATGCTCTTGACTGCAATGTAAGCTCTTTTTCTTTCTTTTCATATTTACTGCAATGCTTATGTTGCACTATTAGCATAAAAGGCAACCTTCATGGGTTTGAACCTAAACAACGAAACTTGACAACTGATCCTTGTACCGGATGTCATTAGCAACTTTACTTGAAATCCTGATGAAGGTTATATCTGCTTTTTTTTCTCCATTGAAATGAGGTTTGAAACATGGCGTTGTAATTTGACAGGTAAAGCTTGCTGGACCAGGTGATCAAATATAGAAGCAAATCTAACCGACACAATGATTGCAACTGGGTATAATTAGGTTTTCATGATGTGAGTGTAATGTGATGTTGGTGTGTTTGTGATTGTGAGGAAGAACATTCTGCTAATTTGGTTGCGTTGTTTAGGCAGTGTTTTTGGTTTGCCTAATCATCTGTTGTAACAAGTTTGTTTCTAATTGATTGATTTGTTTGTGGCTGATTTGCTTGCAAAGCGTTTGTGTGCAAAAAAATGCTTAGGAGTAAAAATCAACCTTTTTGGGCTGCTTATATGGTGCTTTGGGATTTCATGAAATTTATGAACTTTAAAT